GGGTATGCAGGATACGAGGGGTAACTGGGATAACTTGGACGACGTGATGTAGTGGTGGTCGGTCGTGGCGTCGTAGTAGTTAGCCTCGTAGTGGTGCGACGTGTGGTTGTTTGCGTCGTCGGTCGTGTAGTTACCGAAGAATGCGTGGGGTAATGGTGATTGGGTGGATGTGTTGGTAATGGTGGCGGCCACACACCTGTTGTGGGCGGATGTGTCGGTAATGGTGGTGGCCATTGGTGTACACCTGAGAATTGGTTACCAAACTGGCCTGGCCATTGATAAGCAAATTCATTGTAGGTTGTCGCTGGTGCCCGCGTAGCGCTTTCAGGTTTCTCATCCCCATCTTCCTTGATGGGATCGTAAACAACATTATTTTCTGCCTGAAACTCTGGCTTACCACCACCAGTTGAGGGCACGTGTAGGGGATCAACTAGTGGATCGATTTCCGTTGGGTGATCTAGCTCTATAATATCTTCTTCATCTTTTTCCTCTTCCAACTCCTCCTCCTCTCCTACTTGTGGGATTTCTTGCGTTGGCGCTGTTGGTACAGTCGGTGGTGTAAGTAAAGGATTTACGCCACCGGGATAGATGAAAGGTGGAAGCATTCCAGCGCCTCCCATGCCATTGCCCATAAATGTGTTTGTACAGCAAATACCAGTGTTTGGATGCCCAAATTGATCGTAGAAGCTGCATATTTCCTGTCCTACGCGCGGCACTTGCGGCCACTGGCGCAGTGCGAAAAAATTGATTTGCCTATTGTAGCGAAAAAGTGGCTGACAGACTGTGAAGCGCACACAGATGCCGGAGTAACCGCGGGAAGATATGCATTTACTGCCTTCTGCGCCGAAATTGGTGAGCATTAAAAGGGAGGGGTCGTAGAACAGTTGCCGGCGAGAACGTGATTGATCCGGTGGCGAGTGGGTTTCTAAAACGGCGGTTTCCTCGGCAGCTGGAAAGAAAAATTTAAATATAAATAGCTAATATTTTTTCATAGAAAAATAACAAGTTTATTAAAAGCTGATGTCATAATAGTGCTTATCATCACTCAAAGCTGGTGGCATTTAGTGACCCAATTTTCTCTCTGTCGCACACTCATAAAAGAAGATTGGCTCTTAAAAGTCAATTGCAATAGCTTGCTTCCAAATTAATTAGGTGAACCACTATTTATGGCAGTGATATGACCATAAAGGATGCACATACATACTTGAAAGTAAGAGATCCAATCTCTGATTTCAAGCAGCTATATACTTCAGAAGTTTCTAGCAGCGCATTTAATGAGTCTTCCG